AATGACTTTCGTGAGAAGTACGGTAAGTTCTGTAGGCTCGAAAGTAGCCACCGGCTCACCATGTGCATGTGATCGGCATGCCAACTACGAAAATGTGCAGAACACAACTTTTGTGCGAAGATTCGCACAAACATTTGCAAGGCCCGTCGCGAAACTTTGTGCGCATTTTCGTTTTGCAGAACCTCTCTACTAATCCTGTTCTCATGCCAACTTATAGTCCTGGCCAGAGAAATCCGACCTCATGAATATAATAGCGCTGGGGTGGGAGGGGGGGGGGGCTACTTCGTCCTAGCACCATACCCGCGAACACCTTGACCTTGACCTTGCCCATTGCGTAGCAATGATAGCGCATTGTTATTTCTCCAGTCCACGGCAGAATGACTGATGGCGCTTCAGGTCGCCGCTTCGACGGAACATGCGGCCGCAGGCGCAACTGTAGCTAGCAGCAAAGGATGCCTTGGGTGGCCGACGGTCAATGGTACGCCACACCCGCAAACACACACACACACACACACACACACACACACACGCGCGCACGCACACACACACACGCAAACACACACATACATGCACACGCACAGTCACACACATACATACACACACACACACACACACACACACACATGCACACGATCACACACGCACGCACGCACACACACACACACACACACGCACACGCGCGCACACACACACACGACACCACTCTGCGCACTTGAGCGTGGCGCTGCTTTTTCATGACGTCATGAGGTCGTATTTCTCAAGCCAGAACTGTACACCTATGGGCCCACACTTTCGCGGCCACTGCCATGCTCATCACCAGAAGGAGTAGAAGATTGAAAACAATAATCATTAATTTTTTGACTAGGAAGTTGACACAATCCGTCGAGAGAGCGTACTGTGGCTGAGTGCATCGTAAGTTGAACTGTTCCTCACAGCCTCGCGCACCTACCTTGAGAATGGCAGTGGCCGCAGCCGCTCCGCCCGCTTCGCCGGGCGACGCATCCATTGCAATGACCGTGTGCAGAAAAACACAACAGAAGTCCAGCTCGGCGCGCTCGCCCCAGGATGTACGCGGGCGGCGACACTGAATCACATTGCGGTGCTATGCTGTGCGCCTCCTATAGCGGAGGCACGCTACGCAGCCGAAGGCCAGCGCAATGAACTGAGTGTATCCAGAGCCGGATGAGCCGACTCACTGTGAGCCCGTTCAAAAATTATTATTTTTCGAAACTGCAACAACTGACTTCTTCTTCGCTTACTTCAGACTCGAACTCAGAGACGCAACGCTCGTAGTCGTAGTCTACTCGTAGTGAAGATGAAGATTCCGTATACTTCTACCATGGTATACGTAGCTAGTGACAGCTGACGTTCTCCTTTCTGAACCGAGATCGGTAGTCATAACTCCCGTACTCTTGTATGTCCACAAACACTACCTGTCACCATGGTCACTGTCAGGTGAGTACGAATCAGTACGACTGTAAGTTGTAACTGTTGCTTGTTGGGCGGGTGCTGCATAGCCATAGCGCATTAGCGGCATAGGTCTGGCTTCTAATCGTATCTAGTGTCCCTACATGTATGACAGTCATGACACAGTCTGAACTGATGCTGAGTGATGCCTGATGCAGTGATCAGGGGTAATGGTGACTGAGGTATCCTCCTTCCCACCCCCAGGAACAAGGAGCGTTTTATCCTCCTTCCCACCCCCAGGAACAAGGAGCGTTTTATCCTCCTTCCCACCCCCAGGAACAAGGAGCGTTTATCCTCCTTCCCACCCCCAGGAACAAGGAGCGTTTTATCCTCCTTCCCACCCCCAGGAACAAGGAGCGTTTTATCCTCCTTCCCACCCCCAGGAACAAGGAGCGTTTTATCCTCCTTCCCACCCCCAGGAACAAGGAGCGTTTTATCCTCCTTCCCACCCCCAGGAACAAGGAGCGTTTTATCCTCCTTCCCACCCCCAGGAACAAGGAGCGTTTTATCCTCCTTCCCACCCCCAGGAACAAGGAGCGTTTTATCCTCCTTCCCACCCCCAGGAACAAGGAGCGTTTTATCCTCCTTCCCACCCCCAGGATCAAGGAGCGCTTTATCCTCCTTCCCACCCCCAGGATCAAGGAGCGTTTTATCCTCCTTCCCACCCCCAGGAACAAGGAGCGTTTTATCCTCCTTCCCACCCCCAGGAACAAGGAGCGTTTTATCCTCCTTCCCACCCCCAGGATCAAGGAGCGCTTTATCCTCCTTCCCACCCCCAGGATCAAGGAGCGTTTTATCCTCCTTCCCACCCCCAGGATCAAGGAGCGTTTTATCCTCCTTCCCACCCCCAGGATCAGGGAGCGTTTTATCCTCCTTCCCACCCCCAGGATCAGGGAGCGTTTCAGCCTCCTTCCCGGAAGGACCCTCAAGGAGCGCATCATCCACCTTCCCGTGGCTATGGGCCTCCTCGTAATAATTCCCGTCAGCACCCACGTAATGGTAGAGATGATAGGAAGGGTCCCCCACTTCATGGTCCACCCTCCCATAGTGTTCGTTTCCGTGACCAGCCTTCAAACTGAGTCACGAGGCGGGCTCTTCTTCCCTTGATAGAATTAGCTATGGTAATGTAGAAGTTCCTGCTGATGACAAAGTTAGGTTGCAGCCACTATGTGGACTACAACTACTACTACGATTCCTACTAATATTATCTACACAACTCAGTCGGTTTTATGGCAGTTATATTACTCAACGGTTCAAGAGGGAACAAGAGAGAGGACTAGAACAAGTAACCGAAGAACTCAGAGGGAAGTCACCAGAGCCGGGGACTCCCCCGGAGAAGTCAGAGGGAAGTCACCAGAGGGACTCCCCCAAAGAACTCAGAGGAAAGTCACCAGAGGGACCCCACGGAGAACTCAGAGGGAAGTCACCAGAGGGACTCCCCCGGAGAACTAGAACCAGTAATCACGTGACTGAGGAGATAGCAAGAGCAAAGCTGGGCATGCGCAGCCTTGGGGTATCTATGGAGGATAAAACGCTCCTTGTTCCTGGGGGTGGGAAGGAGGATACCTCAGTCACCATCACTGCATCAGGCATCACTCGGCATCAGTGCAGACTGTGCCATGTCGTTCATCTGCCTTCGGGTCGCTCGGGCTCCTGTTAAACAACCAACGGTCTGCAGGAGACACGAGAGTTAACTGGAGCGAGTGTTGTTAGAAGATTTGTACAGGAAGCGATTGGAAACACTTTGCACAAAGATTGATGGACAGTCATTGCATTCGTAAACCGTATTTCAAAAACCGTTAGCATCAATCACAACATCACTATACCCACACATAGGTCGGTGAACAATAGAATAATCGCAATTGTTTCTTATCAAATTTCGGATCATGAGCCAATAGTACAAGTATTTGTTTTCATAAAAGTAAAGAGACAGGACCAACACGTTACGAGTTATGACTAACAGTCCACTGCACGTGTTTCTTATCAATCGCCAATGCTATACTCACACACACACACACACACACACACACACACACACACACACACACACACACACACACGCATACACACACAATGCACACACACACACACACACACACACACACGCACACACACACACACACACACACACACAAGCGTGCACGCACGCGCGCACACACAAGCGTGCACGCACGCGCACACACACACACACACACACACACACACACACACACACACAGGCAAGTGAACAATAGTCTTTTCTTTCTACTTTCGCTTCGGCTTCTTCTTCATCATAATTATTAAAGCCGTTGACGGAGACTCCCCCCATTTAGGCCAAGGTCTGTGGAGAATCTATAAATACAAAAAAAGCCTGAGAATAGAAATAGGGGCAGTTGTGTTTCTTATCAATCGCCAATGCCTCCCGGCAACGACGCAGCAGTGGCATTCGCGTGTAGATGAGCCGGCGGTCGCTCACCAGCGGGCATTGCAGCCGCAGTACGCCTTGCCCTGCCCGTACCCATGTTGAGCACATTGGTCATTAGCGAGGTTTCCTGATACGCGGTCGTCGCCGTCACCGTGGACCGGGGCGGCGTTGTCATCAGGCCGCTGTTGCCGAGGACAACCGAACGCGACCCTACATCCCCATCGTGACCTGTCATGGGTAATGAAGTTGACGACGCCGACGTTGGCTGTGTGTCGCTGAGGTCGTCGAAGCCGTTCAGCCGCATCTTGGCGATCTTGCTGCGAATCAGCTTGTTGACTGCGCGCCGCATTATAACCACCTGCACGGAGCAGTAACGGTACATGTGCATGTACATGACATCAAGAGAGGCATGTATGCTATAGGAGTTATGCGATTACATCATCGGTTGAGATGCTTTGTGTGGATTTTACATCATCAGTGGAGATGCTTTTTGGAGATTATGTCATCAGTGGAGATGCTTTTTGGAGATTATGTCATCAGTGGAGATGCCTTTTGGAGATGATGTAATCAGTGGAGATGCCTTTTGGAGATTATGACTGTCATCAGTTGAGATGCTTTGCGCGCCAATGTGTGGAGATTATGAGTTGAGGTGCTTTGTATGGAGATGTACTAGTATACATTGTCCACCATGTGAAGTTCATACACTGTCCGTAGAGGGCTCTAATTGCCGAAAGCAAAGAGCGGAATACACAAACAGAAGAACGAGCAGTTTTTTTTTGTCTGTGTAGTACACATTGTCAGTGGAAACGCTTTGTCACAGTGTGGAGATCACATCATCAGCTAAGATCATGCTTTGATCGAAGATTACATGATCAGTTGATACGCTTGGTATGGAGATTACACCACCAATTGCTGTGTGTTTGCTCACGTTTATCCCAATAGATGTATAACATTTCGGCCTGGCGAATTGCCTTGTGGATCAGATGAGCCTACCGGCTTTTCCGAGAGATTCAATAGTACTTCACGAAAAGAAAAAGAAACTGCACGGTTCGCGTAATACTACTACTCACTACCAGGGGCATAGCAGCTGGTCCGTTCGATTCGGCTTCGGCCGGACCACTTTTTTGCA